ATAAAAAGGAAGGAATGAAAGATGTAGTCCCCATCCTTGGAACCTAAACACAGGACAGAGCTCAAAAGCAGGCTGGTGACCCGGTGTGAAATGGACTGGGTAGAAGGCAATAGGGGGCGGTGGGGACTGCGGAGAACTGAGGCCCATGTGCCAATGCACTGAGCGTCTGCTACGCAGTTCCAGCTTCCTGGTGCATATAAGGGTGTGGGCCTAGAGGGGCCACATATTCTGGGTTTTTCAAAGAAGCCAAAAAGTCCACATTTCCTGGCTTTTAAATATAGCAACTCTTTCAATTAAAAAAAAAAGAGAGAGAGAAAAAACCCACACGGTGAAGGCCAAACAAGATTCATCTGTAGGCTGACTCCTGCCCATGGAATGACAGTTTGCAATCTCTTTCTTAAAAGGTCATCCAGGCTAACCTTCCATGAACTTGAGTCCCTACTAGAGCACCCCAGAGTGGCATAGAGGGTGAAGGGTTCTATCCAGCAGGTTGTTAAAGTAGTGCTTGGTGGGCGGGGGGGGGGGGGGCAGGGGTGCAAGGACAGGGCTTCTAATCTCCCTCCCCCACTACCGGAAATGCATTCCAGGCCCAGAGGCAGGGTGTGGCCACTGCAACCAGAGCAGCCCACTCAGAGATGACCCAGCTGGGACAGGCCGAGACCTCCAGGACAATAGAGAGTGCTTGGTGGAGGAGTACAGCTTTAAGAGGCTACAGAAAAAAAAAATGGAAGAAGGATGGAAAGCTCTGGAGAAAGCCAGGGAGCAAAGCTGCCTTGAAAAGGAGTACTGGAAAGGAAAGAAGAACAAAGAGGCAAGAAAGAAGCATCAGCTCTAAAAATGCCATAAGTCACAATATAACATGTCCACATGCCCTAGCCAACACACAATCTGGCTACTGGCCATCCATTTGGTCTACTGAATTTGTCTTCATGACACTGACCACTATCTGGTCTTTGATATTGTATGTGAATTTGCTTCTTCTCGATGTCCCCACTCCAAATACATAGTCCAAGAGAAGGTGGGTTTTGTCTACTTGGCTTATGGTTCAGTATCCAGTGTCTGGCCCAGTGCTTGGCACATGGTGGGTGCTTAGCAAGTATCCGCTGGACAAACGGACTGCAGGAAAGCAGCTGGCACCAAAATAGTTTCACATGATGCGTCAACCATATAATAATAACAACATCAGCACAAAGCACTTTATCATTACAAAACCTGTCCTTTAACTTAATTCCTCCGATTTTCTCTTACGCAACTGCTTTGTGTATTTGGACATGGCCCAAGAGGCTGCTGGCCTCCACAAGGCGGACAGCCCAAGAGCCGGCTGGGATGGAGCTGCCTGCACAGCGGCTTGGCCTGTCCACCCTCTGGGGGCCTGGGAGATGAGACGGCTGCAGAACTGCCAGGCTCAGCGCTAATCAGGCCACGTCATCAAAATGATGGAACATTCTGGGACCAGGTTCATCCCGCCTCCCCAGCCTGCTAGAGCACTGATTAGAAGCCTGGAAGGCAGGCAGTGAGCACAAAGGGCAGCAGAGCATGAGGTTAAAGCTTTGGCTGAAAAGCCAGACTGCCTGGGCCTGTTTCCCAGCTGCACAACCTTGGATGTCCCCAAGACTTGTTGACGGCATCCATACTGTGGGCGTAACAATAACAACAGTAATAGTAATGACTTCAAGAGGGTTCTCAAGAGGGTTCGGTGAGACGCTTCGCAGAGCATGCCCAGCATTGTGCCAGGTGCACCCCACCAGTTACCGCAGCAGCGTCTTCCCCGTGCAGCTCCCAGCTCTGCCATCCTCCAGCCTGGCAACCCCAAGTGACTTAACTTCTTCCTCTCTGGATCTCAACTACTTCTTCTTTTATTTTTTTATTTTTAAATTAAAACAAAAATTTCTTTTGGCCACACCTCTTGAGCTGAGGGATCTTAGTCCCCCAACTAGGGATTGAACCCTGGCCCTCCGCAGCAGAAGCATGGAGTCCTAACCACCGGACTGCCAGGGAAGTTCCAAATTCCTCTTCTTTAAACTAGAGGAGAATCAGGTCACCAGGACCAGGTAAGGACCAAAAGAGATCATATGTGTTAAGCCCTTAGCAAAAGGCCTGCTACATAGTAAATGCTTCATAAATGTGAATTCGTATCTTACGGTTATTCAAGAAACTTTTACAAGTCCAAAGTGCCACTGTGAAAATTCACCAAAGGCAGTGTGCCATATGCAAATGACTCTTCAGGACTTAAGGTTCCCCAGCAGCAAGGTTCTCTCTCAGCCCCCTTTATTTCTCTCTCAGCCCCCTTTATTTTTCAGTTGCTCTCAGAAGGGACCCCCCTCCCACCTTGGGTCTGACCAAGCGCATCACAGGTCGGTTCCCAGTGCAGGGCTGACCTTACTCCATGCCAGCGCCTCTGTGCGCCTCCATCTGGCCTCATCGCCCCCGCAACACTGCAGTCTGACAGCGGAGGAGAGGACATGCAAATACACCCTAAAAAAAGGCTTGTTATTTTCACAGCCTGGATGGTGCGTATAGTGGGTGCCTGTGAGGACAGCACGTCACCGTCAGGTACAGGGCATATGCCACAAAGTGGGGGAGGCTGTGAAATGTAAAAATATGCAATCCAAATAAAGGCATTTTCCAAAAAAGAAAGCAAGAAAGAAAGCTCCTCTGGCGCCTTTTGTGGAGGGAAGAAGTGGTAACTCAGCCCCTGCCTGCCACCCTCCCCACCCCAGGCAGATCCCAGAGACCAAGGTACCTGGCTCTTCATCAGCCCCAACAGCCTCAGTGCCCCCTGCTCAGCTACTGGTTTTAAATACTGTGGAATGACCCAGAAATGGATGCTTTCAAGTTCTGGGCCTGGGGGAGTGAAATAGCAAAAAAACCAAAGACAAGACTCTCCACGAAGAACACAAAGCACCAACTAAGCCAGGAAGTGTGGTCCACAGAACACGGACAAAGTCAATTTAGAAGAATATCATTACCATCCACTCTTATCTTGTCATCAACAGTCTCCAGGGAGCCACTACAGGGCACCTAACCCAAGGGTCTCCAGTACGAATGTCTACAGTAGGGGCCACGTAGCCCAGGGTAAACGAGAGCTGCAGGCAGCAGTGAAAGTCAAGCCGACAAGGGGAAGCGAAATCATCGAGACTTAACAGGGAGGCTCAGGGGCCCGTGGGAGACGAGAGAGGAAAGAAGTGAAGAGGGTCCCTTCAGGGAGCTGTGGCCATGCCAGCACAGGGCCCGGTGTGGCCAGATTGCCCCATTTTGTAATCAAAGATTAAAATCCAAGTTTTCAAGTGAAAGGTTGGTTCCAGCTTCTTTTAAAACACGGTGCAGGCCAAACCAAACACACCTGAGAGCCATGGCCAGCCCCACCAATGGCCAGCGTGCCGCCCCCGCTGGCCGAGCTCCCAGCAGATCTTCTGTGCAGTTTTATGGTGCTTTGGGTGGAGACAGAGGGCACAGCAGAAGTACCATGAAATACCCAACTCTCCCTGCCGGTACCCGGACACCTTTCTCCACTTAGAGTCCCCCTCTCTGGGAGGTCCAGCCCTGTGAGCTCCATCCTACAGGATGAGCCCCCGTCCCTCCCTGAGAGTGGCCCAGTATCCGACACTCAGCTCCCCCACCCCACCCCGACTCCCCCGCCATCTGACACCTCTTCAGCTTCCCAGGTGACGCTAGTGGAAAAGAACCCACCTGTCAAGGCAGGAGACATAAGAGATGTGGGTTCGACCCCCCACAGGGGTTGGGAAGATCCCCTGGAGAAGGAAATGGCAACCCACTCCGATATTCTTGCCTTGAGAGTCCCATGGACAGAGGAGCCTGGTGGGCTACAGTCCACGGGGTCACCAAAGAGTCAGACACAATGGAAGCAACTTGAGCACGTTGAGCACAGCTCCCACCACCAGCTCCTTCTCCCTTCCAGGTGGGCAGCTACTCAGTCTGGCTTCTGAAAACATGGCCCTGATGGGGACCTCACGGGGGCAGGCCTTTGGGCAAATCTCCAGCCCTGGAGCAGTGACGGGGCGTGCCCAGCACCGATGATGACCCACCCTGGGGACTTCTGCTTCTCACTAGTCCCCAGGGAAACGCTGCTGTTCCGCAAGGAAGGCTCGTGAGCGTTGCAGCTGCAAGGGACCTGAGGAAGGCACGCTGCATGGCGGGTCCTCTGCACATACCAGCTAAAGCGGGCGACACTGGGCGACTGAGGCCAGGCCCAGCTCTGACTGCGCTTTGGCAAGGGAGCCCACGCCCTCCTCCAAGTTCCTGCTTTCAGCTCCACCCTGGAGCCAAGAGCAACAGAGACAATGTGACCAATGATAACAATTTTTTAAAACTAACCCAATATTGGCTTTGCCTTATATTCTTTTCAAAGCATGTGTACATTTCCATTGTCTCCGCTGACCACCCCCCACCAACACTCCAGAGTGATGGCCAAATGTCATTATTCAATACTTTAATGATCAATCACTCTTCCCATGCCCCTTGAAGAACCAGAGACAGGTTTAGCATTCTGTTCTAGCCCAGTGCTTCTCAAACATTAATGTGGCCGTGAATACCCTGGTGTGTGTGTGCGGGGCCGGGGGGTGGGGGGGCAGTTTTTTAAAAATACAGGTTCTGATCCAGAAGATCTGGGGTGGGGTCTGAGATTCTGCATTTCTAACAACCCCAGGGTGACATGGATGCTACTGGTCCTCAGACCCCACAGTAAACAGCAAAGCTTAGGTCACATGGCGAGTTTAGGACTAGACCTGGGAAGCTAGTTCAGTTGGTAAAGAATCCACCTGCAATGCAGGAGACGCCGGTTCAGTTCCTGAGTTGGGAAGATCCCCTGGAGAAGGGAAAGGCTACCCACTCCAATATCCTGGCCTGGAGAATTCCATGGACTGTAGTCCATGGGGGTCGCAAAGAGACACGACTGAGCAACTTTCACTTTCACTTTGGGATGCTAACCCAGGCATCTTACACTCCCCGAGATCCTGCCTGGGGGAACAAGGCTTGCTCACCTCACTCTTCACGGGCTGGGGCCTCTTGCCCAGTTTCACCTCCAGGAAGTGCAAAGGGGCGATCATGGCCCCGATGTTGCGGATGTCAGCGTATTTCAGCTCCTCTGCAGTCAGAGCTGAGCTGGGGAGTCCGGTCAGGGGGCCGAGCCCTGGCAGAGAGCCCGCAGTCACGGAAGGGTCTGGGATCTGCCCAGGCATCATAGCAGGCGGAGTGGCAGTCCAGCCTGGAGTGGACAGAAGAGCAGGACAGGCACGGTCAGCCAGGTAAGAGCTTCCATGGGGGGCTTAAGTCCCAAGTCTTGCCGGGACCCCGCCCTTTCTTTCACCAGTGTCCCAAGCCCCTTTTCCACCCCAAGTTGCTCTTTCTGCCCTTATATCCATCCATTCTGTTATCGAGAGAAACTTGATCAATCAATTCACACCAAGGTTATTTGCACCTAGGCAATGCTTAACCCAATCACAGGCCACATGGATTCAGCATTTGCTCTGTGCTAAGCACTGCAGTCATCCTTCCACCAGCCCCAAAAGACTAGGTCAGAGCCCAGGACATGGAGGAAGAAGGAAAGCTTAGAAAGAGAACTCACTCCAGACTGAACACTTTAAAACTGGTAGAGCTGGATTTAGACTGCAGCTCGCTGCCTCCGAAGGGAATGGATCAGAATGGAGGCACATCAAGCACCTTTGCACATGTTTAAGAGGGAGCTATTTTGAGGCTGGCATGGTGCCTCCCCTCCAATCACACATCCCATTCTGCCTACTTGTTAAGACACCCTGAATACAAGATGAAGCAAATTGAAGTTAACAGTGTGTGTGTGTGTGAGTGCATGCACCTGGCATCTATGAGGAAGCGACTGAGGCAAAGGAGATAGAATTAATTAGCATGTGCTTTCCCCGTGGAGCCCAGGACAAGAAAAGTCCTCCACGGGCTCTTCACTCTCAAAACAAACACATATTCTAGCTCCTCCAGACTCAGAAGGTGTGCAAAGGAAGACAGATTCAGGCATGAAAGAAAGACATAAATTAGACAGGTCAGCACCCAGGGAATTCTTAGTTCTTTCTTCCTTTCACTGGGGCAAGTTCATGGATAAGAAACGCTCACTTCAAGGCACAGATGGCAGCGAAGAAACCTGTCTGCCAGTAACGCCAGACTTTTCGGTCACTTATGGGGCTCCTACCCATCCATTCAACCATCCATCCATCCATCCAATTGTCAACTACCTACTATGAGCTGAGAGGCACCGAGAATAGTATGGAGATCAGTTGTACACATTCTTGGCTTCTAGGCAGCCTTGTAAGTGGTATTTTAGCACAAAACTGCCTCTGGATTCTAGTCCTGTAAAGAAAATCATTTCTCCTCACCGCCCCCCTTCCTGCCTCTCTGCACAGGGCTATCAAATCAACACTTCATCTGTCTTGGAATTCCCGGGGGAGAAGCTCTGGCCCATCTCTCTACCTTCCCTCTCTTCCCACAGAGAGGGGTGTATTTAGCAAGACAAGGAAGATGGGACGTCCTTCAGACCTCACGCCTCTGCTGGGCAGTTACTCCTGTGGCCACGCTGTCTGGGTCTCTCTGCCTCCCACGAGAGTGGCCCTGGAGGGTGACCCACATCAGCTGCCTTCATTCAGGCTCTCATGTCTAGATTCAAGGAGAGCAGCATATTAGGCCATTCGGGTCATGAGCCCAAGTCACCTTCTCCATCTCCATGTCACTTCTAAAGGTGAAATTTGGTTCCCTATCCAACCCCATGTTTCTTTCTCAATTGGTTCTGCACTTTGAGGGGAAAAACACGTTGGTGATTTGCACCCTGAGACCACCAAGACTTCCACTGGACATCAACTTTCTTGAAAGAAAGACACTTGTGAGCAGACAGTAGACCTGCCATTTCATCCTCAGCACCAGCCGCATCTGCCATGAAGCCTCTGCACACAGCGCCCCACCTCGCACCCCAGTTTACACTTGGGCCCCAGGCTCTTTCCTCTGTGCTCTCCTGCTCTGCCTCCCACACCTGGCCTCTCAGCACCCCCGCTTCCCCACCCCACATCCTTTCTCCCCTTCCTCAGCACCCAGTGTCCCCTAGGCCATTCTCAGAAAAGGATCTCAGGCTCATCCACATAAAGTTATAGTCCTAGAGCTAGAAGAGGCCCTGTGCTCATCTAAACCACATCCTCATTTTGTACAGGAGGAAACAAGCTCAGAGGGTAAATGACTTGCCCAAGGTCACACGGCTATAGAGGGACAGAGCTGGGCTCCTGGTGCCTGGATTTTAGAATCAGAGCTTTCTCACTCCACCCTTTTTGTTTCCCCTCCGGTGGTCCAAGAAATGTTAGTGCAGAAGGAATGGCCTTCTAAGGGTGGATTTTCAGACATCAGCCCACAGTGGAGGATCATTCTCTTGCACAGAGGACCCTCTACTCTTGCCTTCCATGGAGATCCAGGTTCGAGAAGTTCCCCAAAGAACTACATGGCAGGCTAGGCAGAAGCCCAGACATAGAAGAAACAGTCCCTGGGACCTCTTATATGTGATTGGTCAATGTGCTGTGACCCTCCCTAGTCCTGAGCTGGACTGGAATCCAGGTTCGGTGATAAAGTCACTCCCTCCACCCTCTGGGGCTTCCGTGGTGGCTCAAATAGTAGAGAATCTACCTGCAATGTGCGAGACCCAGGTTCCATCCCTGGGTCAGGAAGATCCCCTGGAGAAGGGAATGGCAGCTCACTTCAGAAATCTTGTCTGGAGAATCCCATGGACAGAGGACCCTGGCAAGCTACAGTCCACAGGGTCACAAAGAGTCAGACATGACTGAGCAACTAACACTCTCACTTTCCACCCTCTGGAACCAGGCCTGCAAGGCAGTGGGGGCAGCAGGCTGCCAGGCCAGAAGGCTGCTCCAGGGCACAGTGGGTGAGTCACATGTCTTCTGGACTCCTCCAGGGAGAATAAGAAAGGGTCAGTATAAGGACTCACTCTTGTCTGGATAAACCATACCTAGGATCTTCCCGACCCAGGGATCGAACCCATGTCTCTGACGTCTCCTGCACTGGCGGACCGGTTCTTTACCATGAGCGCCACCTGGGAAGCCCAATTTCAGGCTACCTGAGCCAAACTGACAAAGGAAACTCATTTCTTCTTCTCAGAAAAGAAAAAAACAACAAAACCCTATAACACCCCACCCACACCCCCCGCCCCCTTTCTAGACCTGAACTGATGCTACGAAGAGTCAGCAATCCCAGGAAGGATGTTTAACTGAGCAGGTCAAAGTGGACAGGAGATGGGAAACTTGACAATGTTCTATACCTGGTGCTTCAGCTGAACACCAACCCCTAACAGGGGAGGAAGCCACCACGCCTCGGTATGGAGCAAGGCAAAATAGAGCGCAAGGTCCTCCCCTTGGCCCGAAGCCCCAGAACCTCCCTGGAGTGTAAGGACCCACACATGTGGCAAAATGTGCCATATGGCCACTTAGCCAGTGGAGGGTGAGCCACAGACATGCCTGTTCTTGCCCCATGGGACCCCATGCCTGCATCATTTATGGCACAGAAAGGAAAATCCACAAATACTTGTTGAATGAACAAACGAATGAAGGATACATTCATGGGGGAGCCAAATTCAGTGAGTTGGGTGAGGATTTGTCTCTGGAGGTTGAGACGCTCGTCATCCACCTCCAGACCATGCGCTCCCACAGTAGCCCCCAAGAAAAACCCGCCAGAGGCTTCTGGATGTTTCCTCGCCTAAGCCATCTCAGGAGATGGAAGCCAGACGCCTCTGTGTTCCGGGAACGATAGGCTCGGCTTGCAGCTTCTGTTTATTTTCATACAGATGGTATAAATGAGACACTAACAAATGATCCCAAAGTATAATGAATTCCCTGCTACCGTGAGAACCCCCCCTGCCAGAGGGAGCACCTCCTGGGAGCAGCAGCCACATGAATTCTTGCCATTCCTGCTTCCCTGTAAACCACCCCAAGGACAAGCCTCACTCGGGGTGATCAGGCACCAGGCTTTCCTTTGCAGAAGTGGAAAAAAAAAAATCTCCCTCTCCTGCCCTTCCCCTCAAGGGCGCCCCTAAATGCTCAGATACAAACCACAAAGTCCTTAACACATGCCATTCCAAGGAGACAACCACAACAGCTGACTTCCAACAGCGAGAAGTCATCCTACATGGCTCCAGGGGCGGGGTGGGGGGCAGAGACGGAGGAGCTGGAGCAGCTGCCTCTCATAATTGGATCCCCATTAACTGGAAAGAGCTGGCTGACAAGCCCTGGCTGAAAGGCAACTTGGTCGATTTGAAAACTAAAACAATTCGCAATGATTTAGGGATTGACTAGAAGGTGTGTGTGTGGGAGGCGGAGTGGGGTGGCAGGGAACTCACAACAGTCAGGAGGAATTGACCCACTTCAAGGAAGACAGATGGAAGATGACAAGAGGTGAAATCATCTCCCAGACTGGTTGTTCCATAAACAATTTAGTGGGAAAAGGAGAACTACACAGCAGGAGATTTAAGGGAAGAACTCAGAGTGCTGCCCTTTGGGCCCAGGGGTCCATATGGAAGATAAAGATCCTCCATACCTCCCATGACATGGAGGACATCCTCCATGTCTCATTAGTAACTGGGCTGCATAAAGAAAGAGCAGACCCTATATGCTGACAGAAAACCCATATTGGCAAATAGCGCCTGTGCCTCAAAAGACAGGCCTAGAATCCACACAGACTTTGGCAATTTGGGACACTGACCAGGAACGACCTGGAAACTAGCCAGTGAAGAAAAACTGGGTACTGCATAGATCCAAGATGAGACAGACAAGTAAGGCATAAATGAGACAGAAAACATTCTGGAGGTCACAGTGATCCTAAGCTGTTGTTGAACCTAAGATTTGGGATGGTCTGATGCAGCTCTCTAAAAGCCAGCTTGAAAGAAACAGGGGCCAGGTGGATCCAAGGGGGAAAGAACCTAAAGAAAAGATCTGATATGTCTCTATCCTGACTTCCTCAGGGACTTGTAGGCACATGGTTTGGGGGCGCTGCCTTATACAAGTAGAAGAAAAACCACAAACCACTTCAAGTTCCAAAAATGTGCCCTAATGGTAGACATTAAGACAAAGAGTCATTCTAGCGAAAAGAAGGAAGTGTAGAGATAAGTTTTTCCCTCTTATTTTCTTCTCTTGTTTACTGTATGTAAACCTATAAGGTATTATTATATTTTTAA